CTTTCATTTCGTTCAAACAGTTTCGCCTTTCTCGATACATTCAAAAGTGTAATTAAGGAAGAAAAAGAGACCTGATGCTGCACGCATCACTCGCTCACGTTCCTTTTTTGCGCGAGATCTCTTCTGATTATAAGCACGCCGCTGTTCGGGCGTCATCCGTTGATATCTTCAAAGATAACATACATTTTAAGCCGAGGTGGTCAAATCACCGTCTAGAAGAACTCTCTCTTTTTTTTAAATAAAAAAATTTTATGCGGGCTCCCATCTGACAAAAATGTTTGCTTTCACTTAACTGTTTTGAGAAAAATAAAACTGGAATTTACCGCAAGCGTGCAGCTTCGGCCCTCTTCGCATTCCGAATCATAATTTGTTGTGCTCTGTTCAGCGCTTCGGCACTTATGCGTCCAGCGGGTGTTGATAGCAGGAGCTCCTCCTCAACACGTCGTCGACGGAAAGCTTCCGTACTAAAATTTTCGATTTTTTGACTTAACAAAAGCAAATCATACAAAAAACACGAACAAAAATACGTAAAAGGAAGGCAAATAATTAATAGGAAAGTCGGAAAATCCTATACAATAAGCGTAAAATATTCATTTTAGCGGAAAAAGCAGAAGAAAGATGACTGGAATGTGAGGAGTTTGCAGTGTGCCAGTAGAAAATCAGACTTCAGAAAAGGCTATTTTTGCCCTGTTGTATCAATGCCATGTCCCCTTCTCTGCTTCACGATCCACTGCATATAGGTGGGGTGTCGTTTATTTTGCTGAATAATAAACCCTACTTTTGTTCTAGGTGGCTGTAGGTCGTAACAATCGTTTCTTGCTCTGGGTGTGTCTGTCTCATTGCTGCGAAGATTGGATTCGGTGTAAAGTGTGGAATCGCCATGGAGCTGAAGCGTAAGAACAGAAAAGCCGGTTACACCGAATCGGGGTCCAGGGAAGCTAGCAAAACGAATGTAAAACGCGCGTCATTCCCAGCATGTAATTTTCGCGTTCTACAGATTTAATTTTTACGCGTTTTTGCCGTGCAGTGCTAGAGCGCTGCAACAGGCAGCAATAACGCATATTGTGACGACCCTGTCTGTGTGTGCATGTGTGTATGTGTTCGTCTGCGGGGCCTTTTCGTACACCAGCAATTTTCCATTTGCTGGGTCATTGAAATCGACATCTACAACTGACATGCCACGTAGCTGCACAATTAAGTTCCTGAACTTCGAGAGCCAGTATGTCACAAATTCTAGCTACTGTGATTCCTTGCGATTTTGCTACAGCACGAAACAGTGCAAAAATACAGGGGTCGCGCCGGCCCGTCTGGTGCGTTTCAGCCTGGGTTAACTATTTTCTTCCGCACAGATGGACGATTCTTACTTCACGCCTGCTACCGTAAAGATGAAGAAAGGAAAAGCAAAGATAATAAGGGATTATAGATATCTACGGCTGTACCTTGATCTAAACGCACCGCTACAGTCTAAACGACAAAATTAGATTACCGTCGCTGGTTATAAAGGCGTTTTTCTTCGTCAGTCATTCGGTGATAGCGCAATCGTGCTGCTTCCGCTTTTTTGGCGTTTTGCTCGATGATGTGTTGGCGAAGCTTCTCCTCATCCATGCCATTCTTTTTTGTTCCTAAAACATCGTTTTTTTCCGTTTTTTTTTTTGTACTATACAAAATCTAGACGAATGAGATATAATACGGAATATGTAGCTTTTAAAAATTACTGAGTTTCGACAAATTAGTCAAAATGCATAGTAAATAAGACCTGGCGTTTTATCCAATAAATAGCAACGCGCACCAGACTAGCCGGTGCGATCATGCGTTTTGTACAATTCAGCCTATCGAACGATTACCTATTAATGATTTTCATTGCTTTGTACTTTAGCCTAAGCAAAAATAGTTCAAACATTGGAAGACAGTTAAAAATTTCACGCACCAGCGCACGAAAGCTGAATTCGAACCTCGAAGTGTGAATATCTTTATCCCGAGTTAATAGCCTACCCGCCAAAACTAGCCCGTAGTTGATACCCGAGAGCGCGTGAACGCTGAATTTGAATAGGCAAGGTTGAGCGTGGCAGGGGGTCATTACCCTAAAATTTCAGCCTCCTGGACTCAGTGGTTCTCGAGATATTAATTTACTCACAAAAAACTTTCACGGGGCCATACGTGTTACCCGCGGGTACGGGGGAGCTGAATTTAAATTTACGGAGTCACACGTGGGTGGGGAACGTACCCCTAAATTTTCAGCTTCCTAGCTTTTGCGGTTCCGAGTTGAAAGTTGCGGACAAGTTGCTGCGGACACACACACACACACACACAAACACACACAGAGACAACCCCGTGACAATATGCGTTTTGTACTGCTGTTATACAGCGTAAAACGCATAAAAATCAGCAAATACAAAACAAGCAAAAAATGTCACATGAGGTCTTGTCAGGAATTTTCAAAATAACCGCTTATTCGTTTAAGTGTCACCCCAGGACCATGATAACAACCCTCAAGCACACATGGGAAAGTTTTGGCTGAAAAATCGCTAACTCTGGAATCGGAAAAGCTAAAGAGCTGAAATTTTGAGGTTATGTTTCCCGTCCAAATGAAAATCAACGATTATGCTCGCAAGTATTTCGAGAATTTTTTAAATGCTTCTGTAGCCATCGAGCATAAGGTCAGACGACCTATACTAATCGTGGTCTATTTATATAGGCAGATTAAAAATCGCGGTATGCGTCATGAGCAATCACGACTAAGCAATTTTACAAGAATTTGTACTATGAGCAGAAAAAGATTTTAGAAGTGCCAGCACATAAGAAAATCTATTATACGCTGCCATGCCCCTCCTCACGCCATTTCTTCTCCCAGCCGTTGCCCTGAGATCATTTAAAAGTCAATGATCCTTAAACGTCCAGCACAGAAAGCAGTCAGCTCTCCGGTATAAAAAGCTACTTCCTTTTAGAATCAGTAAGACATGCTTTTTTTTCACTAGAACGCACTGATGCTTCTGTCTACTCACAAGATTTAACGTTATTATGCGTTTTGTGCTGTGTAACAGCAGTAGAAAACGCATATTGTCACGGGGTTGTCTGTGTGTGTGTGTGCCCGCAGCAACTTGTCCGCAACTTTCAACTCGGGAACCACAAAAGCTAGGAACCTGAAAATTTAGGGGGACGTGTGACTCCGTAAATTCAAATCCAGCTTCCCCGTACCCGTGGGTAACACGTACGGCCCCGTGAAAGTTTTTTACGGGTTTAATATCTCGGGAACCACGGAGTCTGTCAGGCTGAAATTTTAAAGTAATGACCCCTTGCC